GAGGTGAATCTTCCACCATTTTGGTGTTAAATTGCTGTCATTCTTTGAGTGGCTGTGCCCTGCCCCCTTCCATCCTGTCTCACCCTTTGCCTGGCAAAGTAATAAAGCTGCGTCTTTTCTTCTAAGCTCCAAGACCCAGTCTCTGAGTTATTTGCCTCATCAGGGATGGGGGCTGATCTTTTGGCAACACTGTGATCTCTTCTTTACTTTCTCTTTATCCACAACTATGAAACTTGGTTTTCCTTCTCCAAGGATATGGTTTATTAATTGGCCTCTAATCTGCCCCACTTTTGTTTTTTGTCTTATGGGCCTCTGCAAAAATCTTCATGACAGTTAACTAATTTGGCAGAACAGAATCCATTTTTTCATGGTAAAATCAAGTGGTAGATGGCAGTGTAAGACACACTGGTTGATCACAGCAGAGTGGTAACAGAGGACAACCCTTAACTGTATTAATATCTAAGGCAGCAATTTTGAAGCTTTTTCCCTTTGTCTCTATTGCAAAGTGGTGAAACTTGTAGGATCGTGTGGTACTAGTTTTCAAGTAAACCATGAAATTATCTCAGCAATTTGTTAAAAAAGCTAGTAAGAGTAGCAATAAAAAATTATAAGATGAAACAAATATTTGTGCTATATGTTCAGAAGGAAAAGTACCATCACTCTGGTGAATCTTTATTAGTAATTCCTTTCGTAATTTCAGATAAACTATGTTCAGATATTAACTTTTACTATTAACACTTAAAAAAAAACTTTTTGTGATGTATTTATAGGAGCATTTGACTGTCTTCTGGGTTATTTCATGGGCAGAAATGGCTGACTATACCTTATTTTTCTTAATAATGAGATTAAATAAAACCTAAAGACCAAATGCCCTTTTACCATTGTCAATATGTAAAGTACTTCTAGCAATGTGTGCTGTGAACCATGAATATGCTTTTTCCTCTTTCCCATGTGTCTTTTTTTTTTTTTTGAATGCAAATTTTCTCTTTTAGAATTAACCTCAGTTCTATTTCACAGGCCTAACTTCTCTGTGGGAAAGCGACTGAATACATGAGTAAAAGGAGCCGGGCAGGCAGCATAGCAACATCAAGACACTGACACTGGAATCGCCCCCAGGAATGGGTCACGATCTTGGGTCAGTGGTTCTCCTTGGGGAAGGCCATTTCCATGTCTGATTGACATCTCTTTAGACACACCTATTGGATTACTTTCTAATCTCCTGTTTCTGTTGAGTTTGACTCTTTTTTTTTGAGATTCTCCATAACTGATGCCGTGCAGTATTTGTCTTTGGCTTATTCCATTTCACATAAAGCCCTGAAGAGGATTTCCTTTTTCCCTCATGGCTGGATAATATTTCATTATATGTTTAGGAATATACAGGTATAATGTTTATTACAAAATGCTTTATTTTATACATATATACAGCATATATCTCACATTGTTTTTCATATGTTGTTCATTATGAACAATGCTGCAATGAACGTAGGAGTAAAGATACCTGTTCAAGATCCTGGTTTCATTTCCTTTGGTTATATACCCAGAAGTGGGATTGCTGGATCATGGGGTGGTTCTATTTTTAATTTTTTGAGCAATCTCCGTACTGTTTTCCATAGTGCTGCATCAATTTATGTTCCTACTAACAGTACAATAGTGTTCTCTTTTCTCCACACGCTTGACAGCATTTATACTCTCTTCCCATTTTGATGATAGCCATTCTAACAGCGGTCACGTGTTATTTCATTGTGGTTTTGATTTAAATTTCCTGGATGGTTAGTGATGTAAAGCACCTTTTCATGTATCTGTTGGTCATTTGTGTGTCTTCTTTGGAAAAATGACTGTTCAGTTCCTCTGGCCAATTTTTAATCTAGTTTTTTTTCTTTTTTGTGTTGAGTTATATGAGTTATTTTAGAATATTAACCCTTTATCAGCTATATGAGTTGCAAATATTTTCTCCCATTTTGCAGTTGCCTTTTCATTTTTGTTCATAGTTTGCCCTGCTTGGCAGAAGCTTTTTAGTTTGATATAATCTCTTTATTCAGTGAATTTCTCTATATTAGCGTATACCTATGTCATAAAGCAGATTTCAATAAAGTGATTATTTTGGATGTATAGTATTTCATTTTATTAATAGGGAATTAACCAATCCCTCATTTATGGACACACATTTTTTCTAATATTTCTGGTGCTCAGATATAATACTGTTATGAGTGTTCTGTAAGGTAAAATTTGTTTACAACATGAAGTTTTTAATCCTGAAACACTCTTTGCTTTTACTTCCCTTTATCTATTAGAATTTCTTTAAAAATGTGATAAATATAATACATGCATAGAATATGAGGCCTCACGATGAAGCAAATATGAGTAATCTTTTCTTCTCCCCTGTAGTCCACCTGCCTGTGATCACCTGTGCAAGTAATTTTCTATATAAATATGAATTAAATAAACACATTTGCATATGTTTCTTCTTGTTGTTTTTCTTCTTCTTCTCTTCCTCTTGTTCCTCCTCATTTCCTTTTCCATGAGCTGCTGTTAAGTGTCCACTGCTTTACTGCTTGGTTTTTGCTCCTAAACAGTAAAACATGTAGAACCTTCCTTCTAGCTCATTCTTTAAAGGGTTCTCCCTTTAAAATGCTTGGATATATAACTACCCACGTGGAGAGATGTTGCATCGTATTACAAGGCTGCAGTACAAAAGGTTCATTTCATTCTAATATAATGGACGCCCCCATGAAGGGGATACTGTATATGTCCGTATAATATTTTTTCACATTTGCTTGTTATAAGTGACAATCATACATTAATAATTAATACTTTTTCCTTCTTCCCACTTACACTTACCTGAATCCTGACCCAATGCAGTGTAATCAGATTTTTAAAATTAGAGTTAGAGAGTAAACAAAATAAAAATAAATTACAATATAGGCAGACAAATCAATGTAGAATATTTTTTAACTAGGCCTCTGCTCTCTCCATCCCTGACTTTACTGAGATCTTTGAGTGAACAGTAACGTTATAATATTCTTTTTGGTCAACTAACCTTGTATTTCATATATTAAAACTAAAATGTGATATATTTTTAGGATTATTTGTAAAACCATTTGATTTGAACAGGACGTAGAAGGATGGGAAACTTGTGACCACTGCCTGTATATGAGATATCTTGTGTGGTTTCAACCAGGGTCAAATATGCATTATTTTCTATGAGGTTATAACCCCAGTGAGAAAGTCTGACGTCTGTTTTTGTTTGTATGCAATATGTATTTCTTCCTACTATAAAAACTGAGGTTTTTTTTTTTTCATTTGTGCAATAAAGAGCAAAAGATAGATTGTTTGTGGCTATCTGACTATATTTCTACGAATAGAATTTCCTTTGAAAAAAAAGTTGAAGAGGGCTTGGCACCAAAAAACCCTAAGCCAAACTGTTACTATCTGAATGCATAGGTTTCATTATGTGATTTCTATCTTGAAATGCCATTTCATGTACATTATTATTTAAATCCACCTTTGATTGACACATGTTATTTCCAGTGTTGTTCCTGTTTTTTTGCTTCCTCTGGTTATCTGGAATCTTTGTTTCCATATCCCTATGTCTTCCTTCACTGCAGACTCAGTTCTCATACAAATTTTCAGTCTAGACTACACAATTATGCATTTTTTATGACAGTGGCTTTTCCTAGTTTATTTCCAGAGTGATGGAGTATTGCCTGTACAAAGTAGATGATATTTAAAGGCTTGTTGCATGTAGTTTAATTAACGTGGGGCAACTTTATTTTTGTTAACCTACTATAAGTATATCCAGTTATAGATTCACATTTCCTCTGTGGTTTTTACCAAATGAAGGTAGTATCACACAGCTGTATGTGGCTGTCCCACCTGAGGCTGGGTCTGGACATCTCATCAACCCTAAGAGGATCGTGGCAGAAATATCTTTCCATTCACCTACCAACATCTTTACAGGATCTTCTTCACTACTGGGACCAAGAAATCATCCCAAAGGCTCCATAATGTCAAATGATTCAGACTGTGAACAGCCTTCAGGTATTTTTTTTTTAATCTAAGTGTTCTGTGTATTTTAATGAAAATGAAATTTTGGTTATTTTTGTCTATCCTAACTGCTAACTGCTAGTTATGATTATAACAAGGGCATTAAATATCTTATATTTTCTTTGATATTTCCCAGATACCTGAAAGAGTGCTTTTAAATATAATTAACAGAAAGAATGATCTCTTTTCCTGGCTGGATCCGGAGTGTAATCAACCAGCTTAAATAGTTTTAGGGGAGCTGGATGGGCTGAGGACTGAAAGTGTGATTTGAGTATCTTTGATTTTACTGCTACTATGTTTGTATTTGTAGTGATCTTTGAAAATAGCAATGGATCTCCTCAATTCTAATCTCATTTGCTTTTTGGGGTTATAAATTAATGATACATTTTCTATGCTAAAAGAAAATACACAGCAGACAGAGGCTATCCCTATTGTGGACTTGGAACCACCTCTTGCCCTTCCTCCCCCTCCCGCTCCGGAGGATGAATGGAGTCCTATTCCCGAGCACGCCAACGTGCATGGTAACGTATACATGCCCGACTTGATTCATTTACATTCTCTGTCTTTATATCTTAAGGCGCATCTTCCGATTTTGCTTTTCTCCTGTTGTTACTATTTGGAACTTTTAAAATTTAGGGAAAATAGATTAAAAAGTCTTCAAAACCTATAAAGAAGTAAAACAAAAGCATACCTTCTCACAGAGAGGTTTGAAAATTTCATATACTAGGGAGCACGTTTCAGGATAAAAGAAGACTTTTGTCCAGATTTAGGCTGGTTTCTTCACAGGAAGCGGAGAGACTTAACATGATCATGGTTTACAATTCAGCAAGTGTGTAAAAAAGACAAAGAAAGGTAGAACCCTATTACATGACTGCCTCCTTTTGATCATAATTAAACTTAACAATTTAATAGAGCAGGGTTTTTCCACCTCAGCACTGCTGACGTCTTGGGCAAGGTAACTGTTGTGGGGACTGTCCAGGGGCGGTAGGATGTTTAGCCCCATTCTTGGCTTCTACACACAGTTAATAAAAGATTATTAATGATGGCCTCAGAAGGTTCAGCTTCTGGAGTGTGGGGAATTGGCATATTACTTTTGTGAAACTGAATAAATTATAGATGCTGTTTGACCTAAAACCAAATGTCATTCAGTTAAAATGTTCACTAAGATTTACTCTAATTCTTTAGGAGGGAAATATACAACTAGTCATCAAGTTCAAATAAACACAGATTTAAAGTCATTAAGCATTTCTCCATCTGATCATATCAATGAGGATAACGTAATCTGAACTGAAGTTTTATGTCTCGTATTTAAGGATATTTAGTAACGCCGTGTGTGCGTTTTTCACCTGTGCTGGAAGTCCCCAGAGCCACACTCAGGTTTAATGACCACTGGGAGAACTCACAGGACTCTGCATTCGGCTGTGCTTGTAGCTGAGATTTATGACAATGAGAGGGTAACAGGCATAATCAGCAAAGGGAAGAGGCACGTTGAGTGAGGTGTGGGGCGCCCCAGGCTCAAGGTCACAACAAGGTGTGACAACGTGTCAAATATGGCCAACCAGGAAAACTCATTAGGGAATCAATATTCAGATTATTTACTGAGGATTAATCACACAGGCAGCATTTGACTGGCATGTAACAAAATAAGGAAAGTCAGTTCAGCACAGCTGTTTGCACAAGCAGTTTAGGCAGCGTGAGCCATGCTCATCAGTGAACGGCTGTGGCGACCCTCCTGAAACCTAGGTTTCCAGGTGCTAGCCAGGGCCAGCCTTGTAAGCTGGCTTCTCAGGACAGAAGTCAGGTCTGCTCCATTAATTCTTTTCTGCACATCCTCTAAAATAGTTTTTTTTTTCCCCTCATTCAGTCTAATAGTTCATAGTAATTTGCACATTGGGCATTATTTTTCAGAAAACTTAGGGCAGTTTAAAGAATAATAAGACAAGGGAAATAATGATATTCCTCTTTTAAATAACAGGAGCTTACATTATCTCTGATTTTTCCTCACTCTGCTTCTTAGCTTCTCCTTTCCCCATTACTCTGTTTGGAACAATTTCCGTGATCCTGGGAGTCTCCTGCCTGCTGCTGTTGATGCTGTGTGGATTCTTTGGTTATCAGTGTAAGTCTGATTAATAGGGGGGAAAGAAATCATAGACTATTTGTCAAATTATCATATTTCTTTAAGCCACTTCCAGATAATAATTTTTGGTAAATGTTTTATTGCCAGACTAAACAGAGACGAGGGGGAAAAAAATGACATGAAAATATCACAACATTTTGCTATATGAATGAATTTAATCTTGTGAGCTCTCAATAATGACATTTTTTCCAGGGAGACTATATTATTGTAATTACTGCAGAAGATATTGTTAGTAATGATTGATTATTATTATTTTAAAAATTAGAACTTACTAAGAAATTAAGATCAATGAATTTATAACTACCTTTACATTGAAAATAAAAAGTAGCTTCTTTTGTAATTTTTTAAAAACTCTCCACACCTCCAACATCCTAAATTAGATTAATAGAATGTTCTAATTACTATTAAAATTATTGACAACTGGTTATTTAAAAGTAGCTGTTGGTCCTTGATAAAGCTGTTTTGAAACTCAAAATTCTAAAATTTGATTAGTAAGTGAAATTCACATTACATCAAGTCATGACGCCAAAAGATTTGCTTGAGACTTGGTTTTTGTTGCTGTTGTCTGTTTTAATTGAGATGGACACTTGTCCTGTTAATATAAACACACATTCAATCTTATAAGGAATTAAAATGGTATTTTGGACTTAGGCATAGACGTTAGAAAAAATAGCGGATAAATGAAAACATACTTAGCCAAATATCTTTTTATAGTTTTTAAAACATTTTTGGGGAGCTTTATTAAGAATATACTACAAAAATCAAGCTTCCCAATCTAATAACCTACTGTTTCATAACTGAGCATGTGTTTTACACATGTCTGGAATTCTCATTCTAGACTTTCAAAGTGTTCAGCAATCAGAGAGCCAGTTGAAGAACCTTAACCAATGGATTGAGTCTTTCCAAAACAAAGAGGAAAAATTCCTTCAGATTCAAGAATCTCTTGACCAAAATAAAGGTAACGTTAGAGCTAGAGCAAACTGTCTTCACAGAATGCTCGACCGTTTTTCTTGCTGCCATAAAAATGGTTAGTTGCTTAATGTAATGAGCTCAGGCAGCAGCATGCTTGTTTTGATGGCTTCTTGCCTCTTTTGGTTCTTCATGTGTCTTCTGAAACTGAGTGAGTCTCACGTTTACCAAATATAACCTCATGTTAATTAATTAGCTCCTTCACTCAGTTAATCATTCAAATTTATTCAGTGTATACCAGATGCCAGCCGCTTGGCTGGTGATCAGTAATAAATACAATATGAACCCTGCCCTTGGGAGGCTTAGAGAAAACATATAAACCAGAAATAAACCAAAGTTTCCAGGGGTGCAGTGGAGGTATGTGCAAGATGTTCAGGGAGCATGGAAGTAGAAGAACTTAGATATTTGAAAAGTAATGGTGTTTTCATAGTTTCTAAGTACTAATACTAGAGTAATCATGATGCTTCTTTTATACTAATTAATTTATAATATAAAATAGTCGATATTTATGATTAAACAAATATTTTACAAAGGATTTGCATTGAAATGTTAGATTTTTTTTCTTTGAGGTATTGAATCCATATGAAAAATTAAATGAACCGTCTGAGAATTTGTCAGTGATTCTTCATGTTAAAAAGACTGGTTTCTTTTTGTATTGAGATATGATTGACATATAGCGTGTAATTTGCGGTGTACAACATGTGAGTTTGATACAGTTATGTATTGCAATGTCATTAGTACAGTAGTGTTAGCTAACGCCTTTATCACATCACATAATTCTCATTTCTTTTCTGTGTTAAGAACAATGAAAATCAAGTCTCCTAGCAACTTTGAGTTTATAATACAGTATTCTTGACTATAATCACTATGTCGGGCATTTTAAAGGTCTCACTTCTAAGCAACTGAGTATTTCAGCCAGAGATGAAACTAAGTAGGGAAGGGAACGGGACTATAATTATTTGTCTGTTTTCCACTTGATCATGATCATTATTATGACTCTTAAAACAGTAACAGATCAGGTGTGATGTGTCTTCTCATCTAATGTTAAGTCTTATTTTCCTCTCTAGAAATCCTAGAGTGGCTCCAAAACCGGAATGAATATCTCATTAAAGCTTTACAGGAACTGAATACGAAACCAGGTGATTTGGAAGTGAGAAAATTCTGAGTTGACAACCATTTTTAATAACAGTCTTATTACTCTTTTAAGAGAGAAAAGATGTGAAGCCGTAAGACCTTGTGTGTGGGGTTCTGTGGGTTCTGAATTATAAATACCCTCTTCTCTAGGAGACAGATGTGGACCTCCTCCGAGTCCCTGGGTGCAGTACCGAGACCACTGCTACCACGAAACCGAGGAAATGGTTTCTTGGTTAGAGTGTTCTAATATTTGTGCCTCGTTGAATGCTACATTTTTAAATACAGAAAGGAGTAGATTGATGGTGAGATTGTGTTTCATTCTTTATTTCTGGGATATAAATGTAAAGCAGCCATCAGTCAAAGGAAGGGCTCACCTGCATCTCTAAAGCCAGGGGGGCTCTCCTGCTTCATTTTTCACTCCTCTTCCCTGGTATGCTCCACATCAGCACATCTTTCTTTCCTAACACGCCATGCGTGCATTCACTGCAGAACCTTGGCATTCGCTGTTTCTTCTGCATGCAGACTTCTTCTCCCAGATACAACCATGGTTAACTACTTCACCGATTTGTTCACCTGTCATCTCCCTAGTAAGACCTGCGCTGACAACCGTACTTAGAATTGAAACCTGTGTATCGGTGTCCCCCAGATCCCTCTTCTGTATGCTTAGGCCTTCTTACCCTGCTGTAGTTTTTTCTTAGCACTTGTCACCTTCTTATATACCGTATCATCTATATGTATGTTGTGTACTTCTATCTGGCTCATATCCCCCAGAAGCAGGGATTTTTTTTTTCATTTTTGTGCAATGATCTATCTCACAAGCACAGAGTTGAGTAAATGATAAAATAAGCTAAAAGTAATTCATACCTTGGCGTGGTGTCCTCCTGAATGTAAAATGTTCTTATCTTACCTACCTCCTTTTTTTTTTTTTTGCTTCTTTGTATTTAATTCCTGGTTTGAGAAATGTACAGACACTAAAGAACTGAAATATTTTTTCAATGTTTCGTTTATCAGTGGGCATATATAGACTACATGATTTTTGTTTTTATGATTCTTCAGACATAAGTTCTATCATTTGTTAACTCCAGTGCACTTTTAGTATTAACACCTTTGTGTATTTTGGTTCCATGCAGAATATTTTGAAGTTACTTGTGGGAAATCACACTTGGCTTGGTCTGTCTTACAAGGAGGAGGACAATCAGTGGAAGTGGGAAGATGGCTCTCTCCCTTCTCCTGGCCTGTAAGTGTCTAGTACATAATCCAGTTCCTTATTCCTTTTTTCAATGTCTTTGGCTTAAAGAGCTTAAGGGAACAGAGAAGACTGCTCGGGACAGAATTTAAACCTCTTTATTTCTTGCCTTTGCTATTTCATATAATACTGTTGGTTATTTTGTAAATCATAAAGTCATCTTGATATTTCATAATTAGTGTACATATACCCTTTGATAGCATCTACCTTATGGCATTTATATTAGTGGTGATACTGTAAATGAAAATAAAATGAACACATTGGAGCAGAAGCAAATGTCCTGACACACACAGTTAACCCTTGAACAATGAGGGCCAACCCTCCATGTAGTCAAAAATCTGCTTGAACTTACAGTCAGCCCTCCTACAGGCAGTTCCAAATCCGTGTGTTAAACCAGCCACGGATCCTGTAGTACTGTAGTATTTACTGTTGAAAAAAACCCACCTGTGAGTGGACGTGCAAAGTTCAAATCCGTGTTGTTGAAGGACATATATACAAACACACACACACACACACACACACACACACATATTCTACACTTTGTTACTAATCGTAACTGGCTTTATATCTAATGTATTTACAAGCAAAGCATTCCTCCTCCAACTGCAGCTGTACTGACTGACCTGTGGTTTCTGTCGTGCTGATCTCGACTGAAACATAAGTGTGTGCCCCGGGTCCCATGATTTTCCAGCCAGACCGTTCTCTTCCTCTCTATACGGGTGTATCTTCTCCTACTTATAAATACTTATCACGTTTTGTGAAGCTTATTCATTACTTATGCATCCATCTCATTTTTTAATGTATAAATGTGTGAGTCCTTTGAAAAGAGGGAGCGTGTCTTTATTCCCTTG